GGAAAAGATGACAATTGAGTGGGCAGGGATGCTGCTGCTCCTTTGACGCGCAATAGCTTATAGCTCAGTACTTGAGGGCAAACTGAAACCAATGGCACTTTGGCCATCCATGCAGCAAGATAAAACAGGCAGTTCTCTGTGATTCCTAGCTCCAGAAACAGGTGATACCCATTCCTTTAATCACCTGGGTTGTGATACAATCCACCATCTACCACAGACACCTGATTTCAAGCCCACTTATTCAGCAAGCCTCAGACAACCAGGGTCCTTGAATGCATACAGATTTGTCCATACAGTTCAATGAAGAAAGATCCGCTCTCCCAAGAGTGCAAGCTGAGCCAGCAGGGTGGGTAGATCACTTAGCTCAGAAAGGCTGCCAACAGTGCCCTCTCACCAAAGGGAGACTCAGGCACAGTCTGGTTTTGGACAACACTTCTCCCTGTCTCACCCTGGTGTTTCCTTCTTGTGAGACAGTTGTGATGCCTTTCTGAGCATCCCTGAGCCACTCAGCATCTGACCACTATCACTGCTACCAGCAGTCCTCTCACAGATATAGAAAGCCATACACAGGCACCTGGTGCTCCATGGTGATGTTGCTCCCACCCTCCTTGGTGCTTCCTTCCTCGAGCTAACTAGAAGGAAGCCCAATGACCTACACTTGAACTTGCAAATGCTGTAACATCACCCTCACTACCTTCAAGACAAAGGGCTGCTGAGCACAGCTGTCCTCCCTCCCCAGCCATGCTTTGCTCCATCCTTACCCTTTCCCAGAGAGGAATGCTCCCAGCCCCAACAAAATGCTGCTTACGTAGCTTGTAAGCTCTTTTTTTTTTTTTTTTTTTTGGGGGGGGGGTTAGGGTTATAATAAACTAAAAAAAGCAAGGGCAAAAGATAACAGGGCAGAGTGCACACTTAACAGGTTTGGGAGAGCAGGGATGCTATTCAGAAGGAGCTAAATAGTCTGCACAAATAGGCTGATAGGATCCCCATGGATTTCATCAATAGTAATTCCACATCCTGCATCCGGGATAGAAGAGCCCAGTGTCACAGTACAGGCTGGGGCCAGCTGTCTGTGGAGCAGCTCTTCAGAAAAGGACCCCAGGGTACATGGTGGACAAAGAGCTGAATGTGTGTCAGCAGTATGCCCTTGCAGCAAAGAAGGTCAGTCGCATCCTGCGCTGCATTAGTAAAAGCAGAGCATGCAGATCCAGGGAAGTGATCCTTTTTTTTCTCTATTTGACACTTGTGAGACCATATCTGGCATACTGCATCTGATTTTAGCCTGTTCAGTACAAGAAAGATAGTGACATGATGCAGCAAGCCCACAAAGCTGGCCAGGACTGTGTTTTTTGTCTGGAGAACACAAGGCTCAGAGGAGACTTGATTGCTCAAAATACCTACAGGTTGCCCAGAGAAGCTATGGACTCTCCATCCTTAGAGATGGTCAGGATTTGACTAGACAAGACCTTGAGCATAGGCCTGCTTCGAGCAGAGGTTTGAATAGGATGAACTCCAGAAGTCCCTTTCAACCTCAGTTATTCTGTGATGCTAGAAAACCAGTATTTTCAGCTAAGTTTTCTAAAGGACTCTGTTCTCCTCTAAGTTCTGTTCACGTCGTTTTATAAAAGAAGCAGGTAGACCAAATCCAGAGCCTTTCAGAGATCTGGCCATAAGGTATTATGAGAATAAATACTAAAATTCCATCCTGTTTTGTTAATCCTGTTAATCCGTGAATGTAAAAATTAAATCTCACCTGATTCCCTCAAGATGTTTTCTTCCAGAAAAAACAGTTTGCTCATCCAAATGAATGAAAAATCCTTAGTTAAGTCTAAAAACAATTTAAATGGTAACTTCAATTTTAAATTTAATTAATAACATTCTGCATTGAAAGGCAAAATTTCTTCTTATTTCATTTGTGTAAAGAGCACTGGGTGTGCAGGGAGTCTGGGCTCCTCCAACATGCGCACACATTACGTCAGGCAGCTACTTTTTATGTTCCTAGGCTAATACATGTTCATTACTACTTCTAGAAAAGGCAGGGTTATTATAATTAGTTCCCAGATTCCAAACCCTCCCACTGATGCATCAGTCCCCGGTGGTCCTTCTGGGGGTCACTCCTGCTGAAGGCTCGTAGTCTTCTTCCCAGCCTTTGTCCTCATCCTTCTTTGTCCATCTTGGCCGGATATCAGAGACTTGCCTGGTGTCCCATGCAATAGACACAATAGTTAGCAGTTATTCTGAGACCCCTTTGTTCTCTTATCCCCAGATATCAGAGACTCAAGGTCTACCCTTCAAGCCCTCTATTGACATGAATTGCTGGAACGTTCCATGCAATATTCTTAGATCAGGATTCTGATTCTAACAATGGTTCCTAGTGCAAAGAACAGAGAAACAAACCAGTCCTGACTGCTTTGAATGAGATAGCAAACAAATGTAAATGGAGAAAATAAACCTGTGGGAATGTTTTCAAAGAATTGTCATAGTCCAAAAGCTTTAAATTGGTTCAGTCCCTGAAAGTTAATTAGTGTAAACTCAGGTTGCATCACTGAATTTGAAGTAGTAGGAGAGACTTGCACCATTGCAGAGCCTCAGTTGCTGATTAAATTGGCATTGCCTCTAACTCTATACAAGAAAGAGAGAGAAGCACACCTTTCTACTCTGTCAGCTACTGGAAGACCTAGAGAGGAAAAAAAAAAAAAAGTTGTTTAATTAAAAAGTACTGTTGTTTTAAGGCATTTCACCAAATAGGTAATATTTGGTAGAAACCAGACAACAAATGAAAGGGAAGAAGAAACAGTATTAGGTACCTGCAAGGCCTTAATTTACATGGCAATTGACAATAACGACAATCTGCAAAAATTTATAAGTGCCTTACACCATTCACCCTTGAGACAGAAAAATAGGATTCCCAGATTCTGAGACAGAGACAGTTTATTAAGACAGGAAAAAAAAAAAAGGCACAATAATAATAACGATAATAGTATTGCTACTACTACTGTGTACAGAATAAGTGACGCACAATGCAATTGCTCACCACCCACTGACCAATGCCCAGCCTATCCCCGAGCAAAGGGCCCCCCATCCCGGCTAGCCACCCGTATCTATTGTTAGCCTGACATCAGATGGTATGGAATACCCCTTTGGCCAGTTTGGGTCACCTGTCCTGGGTCTGTCCCCTCCCAGCTCTTGCTGCACCCCCAGCCTGCCCGTTGGCAGGACAGAGCAAGAAGCTGAAACATCCTTGGCTTAGTGTAAGCACTGCTCTGCAACAATTAAAACATCAGCGTGTTCATCCTAATCCACAACATAGCACCCTACCAGCTCCTAGGAGGAAAATTAACTCTGTCCTAGCTGAAACTAGGACAGCTGTTTTCTGGCAGGTCACAGGGAGAAGATTGGCTGGCTTGGGGGAGCTTCTGTACACGTGGCTTTTAGGCTGCAGCCGAAGTGTTCCTCTAGATCTGGAAGTTTGAAGATGGTTGAGTGGTTAGAAAGCTACCAGGCAGAGAAGGACCTGGGAGTGATGGTTGATAGTCGGCTGAATATGAGCCAGCAGTGCGCTCAGGTGGCCAAGAAGGCCAACAGCATCCTGGCTTGTATTAGAAGCAGTGTGGCCAGCAGGGCTAGGGAAGTGATTGTACCCCTGTACTTGGCTCTGGTGGGGCTGCACCTTGAGTACTGTGTTCAGTTTTGGACCCCTCACTACATCACTACAAGAAGGACATCGAGGTGCTCGAGCGAGTCCTGAGAAATGGCAACGAAGCTGGTGAGGGGTCTGGAGAACAAGTCTTATGAGGAGCGACTGAGGGAGCTGGGCTTGTTCAGCCTGGAAAAGAGAAGGCTCAGGGGTGACCTTATCACGCTCTACGGGTACCTTAAAGGAGGCTGTAGTGAAGTGGGGGTTGGTCTGTTCTCCCACAAGCCTGGTGACAGGACGAGGGGGAATGGGCTAAAGTTATGCCAGGGGTGTTTTGGTTGGATCTTAGGAAGAAGTTCTTTACTGAGAGGGTTGTGAGGCATTGGAACGGGCTGCCCAGGGAAGTGGTTGAGTCACCATCCCTGGAGGTCTTTAAAAGACGTTTAGATGTTGAACTTAGCGATATGGTTTAGTGGAGGACTTGTTAGTGTTAGGTCAGAGGTTGGACTCGATGATCTTGAGGTCTCTTCCAACCTAGACAATTCTGTGATTCTGTGAAATATGCCCTAACTGTTTTCAGATAAAGTGAAGCGAGTTAACTAGAGCAATCCATAAGGAGGGCTGAGGCTAACCTAGCTGGATGTGCCTGAAGGTATGTGTAACAGGGAGTGAGAGTAAGTAACAGCTTCAGGAAAGGACTACTCTCTTCCAGCATTTTTATCCCACGCTGTTCACAAAATAGGGTTGTAGGTACAGAACTGGCTACACAGATATAGCCAGCAGAAACCTGAGTCCACGAGAGGGCTCTGCCGACACAGGCATCAGCAATGCAAATTCCTCCAGTGCAGTAACTGAGTGGTGCCAGTTCAAACCCTGCCCAGAGACAAGGCTTTTAGTAAGGAGCCTTGCTTTTGTGAGAAATGACCTTAAAATCAACTAAAATATGCCTGCTATAATATGACATGGAGCACCTCTCATGCATTAGAGTCTGTAAAGCAGTTTAAATTTCAGAGTGTTAAATTGATATAGTTTCAGGTATAAACAGGGAGTTCTGGGCCTCTCCCAGTGGAAGCAGCAAATATAGAGGGCATGACTGAGAGCTGCCCTGGGATCCAGCTGTGCCTGCCACAGGTATAAATAAATGGCAACAAGGAAATCACTTGGATGCCTTGTTCATGCTAGATCCCCCACAGCTGCAGGCGCTTGCACTAGCAGTAGTTTAAGAAACCGCTGTCTGGTATAGAGAAGGCTTTTGAGTTCAGTCAAGTAGGGAAAATGCTCCTGTATATGGGAAAAATATCTTCCTCCTACACAAAACTGAACACAGCAAAGTGAAGTAACATTTAAATAGTACACACTGATCAACAGCAAGACAACCGAGTTGATTATACCTCTTTATACCTTTAAATACAACCTCCATTAAAATTCTGAAGTAAAAATAGCTGTATAATGGTAATCACAAAAACATAAGGAGAAGATACATTCCAGTTCAAGGGAAGATTTGTCCCAACGATGAATAAGAAAAAACAAGTGATGAAGGTCATTTAAATGCTATTGTATGTATCCACTGGAAGAACTGGCTAGGTTCACTGATAATACAGCACCTGTCAAGTACACGGTGCTTGACTGCTTGCTGCTATTAGTAGAAGCAGCCACCCTGATTATTAGCACTAAAAGACAAGCAGGTCTAAACAGCCAGAGCAGCAGCAACATATGAGCATGAAAGCTGGGCATAATACACAGGAAAAGCAGCAACCAGGTCAGCGGGCTGCTGCTTACTCTTTGGCAGTAGGGTGTGCTCGTTCTTCGTGGCACTGGGCTCACACGACCACCATGATGTCTTCCAGGGGCTTTCGGGTCAGCACAGGCACAGTGGCATCTCTCTTCGGATAGCCCACAGGGAGCAGCAAGAGCAGCTTCTCATTCGCTGGGCGCCGCAGCAGCGCCCGGAGGTGAGGGCCGCAGTTGAGGGGAGTGGTGGTCACGGTGTAGAGGCCTGCGTTCTGCAACAAGACCCACAGGAAGGGAGTGAGACCAACAGCTGTGCTGGCCAGCTGCATCCATTACTCTTGTGAGACCTGTGCATGTTTCTCACATCGCCTAGCCCACTAATACTGGTTCATTACACTCTTCTGCAGGCTTTACAACTGATTTACTAATTGCCTCGACAGTACCATGAAAGATGCCTGTTTTGCTTACAGAAAAGTACAACATTTCTCCACTGCAGCAATAGCACAGACTAATGGAAATAGCCCTGCTCTTTCTGATGTATCTGTGTTGTACAGCAGGAGCCTGCCTAGAGTGTACAGCATGAGGGTGGGCCCGTGGCTGCAGGAAGCTGGGAAGCAGTTGTGGGGATATCACTGGAGTGTCATCCCATGGGGATCATCTGGCTCACACAGAGAGAAGCTTTGGTTCTTGCCCTCATATAGTTGGCAGGAAGATGTCTTTGTGAACACCTGTTGCTGCTCAAGAGTGGTACCTCACAGGAACAGGGAGCAGAGGACGTGCCTCAGAATTTGTCCAGGAGCCTGTTGGTATCTCTCACCATGGCCAATGTCCTGGCTTATATCAGAACCCCAGAATAAGTCTATGCATCATTCCTTCTCCTCATACAAAATCTCCCTAACACAAACACACACGCACAAACAAACAAACAAACAAAAAAAAAAACATTAAATGCTGTTTGGTAAAAGCTAAATGATCTGACAAAAAGTAAATAGCTGACACTATCCAAAATACGACCATACAGCTGAGGTGCTTCCTGAGAGCTGTGCCTGTGGATTTCAGTCTCTTCCTGCATCTAATGAAAGCATTCGGGGAGTCTTCAAGATATAAAAAGCAGCCAGGGAGACTTACTCAGGCAGTGTGCCTCTCATGTTAACATCTATGATCTTCTGAAGAGAAGAGCTGATAGTGGTGGTTCTGAATGCTATGAGTCCATGGCACTGTGTCCTTTAATGTTGTCAATTAACTTCTAAGAGCTGGGAAACAGAAGCACTGAGGAGCCTAACAGTCAGTAGGGAGCCTCAGAAGTCTCACCTGATGGTGGGCTGGCTGGGGGGAAAGTGAGGCTTTGTCTCTCCTGCTGCTTCTGATTTGATTAAGGCACTAGTGACAGCACCGGTTCTGCCCTATTCTTTGTGCATCCTCTTTGCTCTCAGTTCTCAAGACCCCTGTGCAGCTGCAGAACAGCTGTACCCCAGAGATGTGCATCTGCACTGCCTACCTCTCAGATTTCCCATCCTGAAGAACCTCCTAAGGAACAGCAATGCAGGCAAGGAAATGTCACTCAGAACAGAATGGAGGAGAAATGGCAGTTCCTGGTAGGGAATTGGCCTAATAAAAGAGGTGGCAGCTTGCTGTTACCCTGCTGACAGGCCATGCTAACAATCAGAATAACTTCACTAGTTAAGCACTTGTGTGAGTACATCAGATACATCGAGCAGAAAGGAACACTGAGAAACCACTGAGAAAATCCAATTGGTTGGTATCAAGCATGCTGAGCTTTAGAAATCAGTTCATTTTCAGAAATGCCTCCAAAAGCCTGATTGAAATAGTACAGCCTGTTCTGTAAAATATGTCCCTGATATTTTTCCAGTATTGCAAACTACAATGATTTGGACTCAAGCCATTTTTTAGGGGTTACTGAAAAGATGGTGTTAGTGCAGCACTGTACAGCCAAGCTTTGGTAACCTGCAGACCCTTGCTGTCCCTGCTAACATACAGCAGAAACTGCAGCTGCTGACATTGTGGCAGGAGAACAGTGACAACTCTGGAAGGAAGCTGCACCACGCTTTTCCTCTTGATAAGCAGCACTGAGGATAGGAATCACCACAGACGTGGACCTATGCAGAATAACTTTTAACCTCAAAACTAAGACATTGCTAGAAATTGGAGCAGTCTGAAGGACTGATAATGTTAAAATCTAAAATGGGTTTCCTCCTCATTTGTGCTGAATAGTTTTGGTACGTAATCCAGACCAGTATACTGACTCCCAGCCCAGCATGCCAGTGCTGTCAACATACCTGCAAAGCAGCAAGCAAGATGCCACAGGCAATAGAAACACTGATTTCATTGTAGTAGTGGGTCTTCTTTTTGCCATTTGGAAGCCTCCCATATACCTGCTTGAAAATGAGGATCAGATAGGGAGCAGTGTCCAAGTACTCTTTGATCCAATTTGTTCTGCAAAAGAAAAACATTAAAGACATTTATTTTGCAACCCTTTCACTTTACTGTAAGTCACATTTACTGTCTGTAATGTTGCAGTAAAGTTATATGACAATTATAGCAGTAGGCTAAAATTTAAAACATAATCCCCATACAGAATAAGTGTTATCACCTTAAATAGAAACGTTTCTGCAAAAAGCTTGAATAGACTTCTGAGGTTTAACACATTCAGCTGAAGAATTGATGTGCTCCCTCTGAAGAGTAGAATTGCATAAAAGTAGGAGGTAGGTCTTGACCTCTTATCTCTGCACTGGCCTCAGGAGCATTTGTCCTTGAGATGATTTAATTCCTGAAATTTTGCAAACCTGCAGCTCTACCTGTTACTATCAGTGCCAACATTTTTTTGTAATTGCAGGGAAAACTGCTGGCAGAAAATATCAAAACTACTTGGTCTAATGTCTAAACCTGAATATGTTCTCACAGCAAAAATTGCTATTCTATTTCTGGATATTTCAGCCCTGTTAGAATTTATTTTGTTCCCAATTTCCTACTGTGAGAATATATACAAAAATGATGTCAGATTTATTTAAAAAAAAAAAAACAAAAAAAAACACAGTTTATTTTGTACTGCTCTCACTCAAAGTACAAAAAATAAATTATTTTAGTAGTTTGCATAGCATATGTTTACATAGCACAAAACCACCTGAAAAATAATAACATTATGAAACAAATTGGGCAAATTAACCCTATAAAGCTTGTGCATATGCTTCATACGACAAGCCAAGACTTAGTAGATATCTTCCCACTGTGTGAAGCTAAGCGAGTCAGGCAGTCTTTGCAGGGCATTTCAAAAAATTAAATACTGCATAATTCAACACTTGCATAGGATCTAGCCTTGGGGCTACCACAGTCAGCTGCAAAACTCTTAATAACTTTGGGAGTTTCATTGTTTGACAAACACCAGGAAAGAAATAGGAAAAAAGTTCAGGAAATAAAGGCTATATATATAATTTAAAAAAAAAAAAAAAAGATGGTTCCAAATGCTTGGAAAAGTCTCAAAATGGAGAATATGTAATCACTTTTTACTGGAGGCAATTTTACAGATCAGACACCAAGGCTTTACTCACATTTTTATATTTTTCTTTGCAATCATAAGTCTTAGAAATATCTTAAAAGGGGGAGGGAGAGAGTAAGAAAAGGATACAAGGAGAAATCAAGACACGCTTCTTTCATCACTTCAGTTTCCTAGACTGTAGTGCTTTCAGTAAGATTCCCATAATCTTGAGAATTAAGACAAATCCATACAACATGGATGGGCGAGGTGAATATTTGAATCATATATTTCACTCTTTCTCTGGTAAAATTGAAGCACATGCGGTGTGAGATTTTTCATAGTTTCTTTGCTTTTTGTTTGTTTCTGTGTGTGTCTGTCAGGTGCTGCATCTCACCTGACCCATAGAACAAGGTGGCCAGAATTAAGATAGACAGTCAAAAAATATGTTAGCTCCTCCTGGGTGGGAGCTCCAACTTTCCTTAGACAGGAGATTCTTCTTCCCAGATGTGAGTTAGCAAAAGGACCACAATATATAGACCCTGGCAACTCACCAGCTGGGAGTCTCTGATCTCATCTTCCTTCTTTTTGTGTAATCAGGAAGTGGGAAATATTTACAGCTGCCCTCCTAAGCAGCACCACAAAATTGGGGAGTTTAAGGAGCACAGACTTGAAATAAGATTTTGAAATAAGATTTTTTTAAAAACTGAACTGAATACTTTCAGAGTTTTTTTCTCTTCCTGAAAATATGTGGAAGAAATTCAAAAAGAAAAAACCTCCCAATACAGTCTTCTCTAGAGCAAAACATGGTTTTGAACCCCTTAGCCACTTGATTTTTTCATACCTTAGTCTCTTCAGGTCATTAACCCATTTGTCTCCCATCCTTTTTTTGTAGTTTATTTCTTCTTCTTCTTCTACTATCTCCCGAATCTTATGTTTTACATCTGGATCCTGCACCACCACAAAGGTCCAGGGCTCGGTGTGCGCTCCACTGGGTGAAGTACCTTGGTACAAGAACAGGAGATGATGAAAAACACTTGGCACAATGATGAGTGAGGGTGTGCAGTGAAAGATATCAGCTCTTTGTGGGCTTTCAGACTGGCCATCAGAGCGATGGGAAAGCAAGCTGATGAGCTGGGGGAATAAAGGACTGAGACAAGTTTTGGCAGGCAGGCTACACATTTGTTTCTCAAAGAATGTGAAGTCCCAATCAATGACAGATTAGTCCTTTCAGGTAGCCATCTTACAGGAAAGAAACGTTAGGGATTTGTAAAAATTCCTTTGTGGTTCTTTATGATGAGGCAATCTGACGATGCAGTAATGTTAATGCAAATATTACACCCAAAGCAACACATCGTCTGAATATGCAACCAACTCTGAGAAATGATTTTAGCTGAAGGGCAAAGCTAATGGCTTTCAGGGAAACAAGGCTAACGAACCATCCGCAGGAATCTGTTGCTGGCTGACAACGATGAGGAACTGCACAATGCAGACATCTGCCATATAGCACACAGGTCTGCATTTGTTGTCCCAAAGACAGCTGGTGCACGTAGGTGTGCACATATTAAATCTGCACTTGCTCATTCAGCCCTGATCATTACACACCAACACTATCAGTGAATATTTTAACTGCCTAACAGATGAAAGCCAGAGGCTGAAGAACACAGTTATCTGTACTAGCTCACAGAGAAATAGGCTAAGGACATTTTTCAGGTCTCTCTAGACCCTCATAAACATTCTAAAAATATTTGAAGGTCTTGAATACATATTATATTTGCTTATGTAAGCACTGATTTCAGCCTGAGAAGCACCGAATAAGCAGCTTGAACTACCTATCTCTTATATTAAAATGTGTTTGTATCAAGAACCTCATCTCTCTTCTGTTTTGGATAAGAACTGATGACATTTCTGTTTTGACTTTTTTTTTTTTAATTATTTTCTTCTGCACAGCCCAAAGCTTTCAGGGTTACAAAGTACTTCATCTGCACTCCAGGCTTGTTCACTTTGCTGCATTTGCCAAAACATGTTCAGTGTTTTAATGACTCCCAGCTAATTAGAGGAAGATGGAGACTCATTACAGTGCAGTAACAAAGCTGCTTACAGTTTTTAAAGGGAAAACAATGCACCTCAAATGCTAAGATTCTCTTTATTATTAATCCTACTAGAGGCTATTGAATTTTCCTGTAAGGCAGCCTGTGAATACTTTGCTATACTAACAGTGACTGGTTCACAGAAGAAGAGAAATAATGAGGGTCAAATCCAATACTGGCTGAAGTCAATGTTATTAAAGCAGAAATGAGATTAGGTGAGGACATTACAGTAATGATTTGAAATACAAGTTCCCCAAAAAAATGAAAATTCATATCTGATCCTTAAGCAACCTCAATCAGGGTCCTCAGCGTAACACTCCAGTCATATAGGGGCCTGGCACTGATGCTGAAAGGACTGGAAAAGTTGCTTTGTTCTCAGACTGAAACCTTTTTTCTATAATAATCCTTAACCATTTATGTCATCCAAAATGCTTCACATAGCTGGGACAATTTAATCAATTTGTCTGGGGAAAAAAACAGCAACAACAGGAAAAAAAAAAGGTATAATATCACAATGAATTAAATTCTGAAGTATGTGAAGTACACATGCTTTGACGCTTCTGAGAGAAAGGACTTCAGTGTTTATATTTGGAAGATTTTTCACTTAACTGTATTTAAACTTTAGTTTTAAAAAGACCTCTTAAAGCTTAAAACAAAAGATTTTGTTTCATGCTGTTGAAATGTTCTCTTTACATTTTGGGCTCACTGAAAATACAAGAGAATTGGAAATGCTCCAAACTAGTCCCCAACACACAGTTGTTCAAGTGAGTAATTTTCAAACGATCAATGGATGCTTACTTATTGTGGCTCCAGGTGAGTCTAGGAACACCGTAATCCAAGTGCCAATTCCCTTGGTTTTTCCATACTGCTTTTAAACAGTGGAGCAGCAATGTTGAAGCTTTTGTCTTTCAGACCTTGAACCATTCAGTACCCACCTGCTGTTCTGATGACATTATCGATAACCTCCCTGGGGACCGGCTCATCACTGAGAAACCTGACAGACCTCCTCTTGTTGAGAAGTTCATAGAAGGCCTGTGACCTTTTAATCATTTCAGCCTCAGAGTAGCGCTCCGCAAAGAAGGGGACATGGGCAACATTTTCATCAAGTCCTTGCCACTCTTCATCAACCTCTGCAAGAAAATAAGATTGGTTAGGGATTTTGTTGTTGTTGTTGGAGAAAGCTGTTTGCATCTTTGCCATTCTCCACTGTAATGCACTTTGGCCAGCATTGGCATACATTGCATTTCTACACTACTAGCAAGCCAAAGTCTGAGGTTCCAGTTGACACAACTCATTGATCCCAAGCTGCAGCTACTGAACAAACACATTGTTTAAATACCAAGAGGCAGAAGAGTCCTGGCTGGCTGTAGCAAGTGCCATCTAGGAAGAAGTTACAGCCTTTTGTACTTCAGTCTACAAGTGTGCCTGTAAAAGTAGAGTACAGGCTGAAACAGTAGTGAAAAGGTACTTTTCTCACTAAGAGAAAGCAGTCTAGTGAGAAAAAAATACCAATCAAATTACTGAAATTGAGATGGCTTGACTACTGAGATGTGTAAAATTTCCTCTGAAGAGCTGAATGTCAGCTTCTTCCTATATTTCTGTTTCATAGCAGAAGCATTACAATCTAGGCTCTGTACAAATGTGACTTTGTGGTTAAGTTCTTTGGTTTCACGATACTTTCAGCATAAGGGTAAATGGCATCTATACTTAGGATAACAACATATCAAATGCAGGATATCGTGTTTCTTGTCTTTAATTTAAGAACTCAAAATGGTTCCTCATTTCTCTGAAAGCTGTCCCTTTGGCTTTCTTATACCATAAAATGAATTTTCTGTTGTCTCTGAAATTTCTTGTTTCTCCCCTGCATTCCTAGAATCAGCAAAGATAGCATTTTTTGCAACTATGACATGGAAGTTAAAGCCATTTAAATTTTGCATTTCTGCTAGTCAATAGTATTGAGCAATCTGCTACAAAGGGCTGAGTCAGGAAAAAGTATTCCAGTTCTTTTTCAGTTGCAATTAGGCTGTTATTCCAAAATCACAGCAATCTGCAGTGCAAATTCAAACATCAATTACTTCTGTGTTTTAGTAGTATGCAGTTGCCTTAGAGACCAAGCTGATTTTTTTTGTCCACCTTATAATCAGCAGTGAAATATTAACAAATGTGGCTTAGCACATGTGAGAGGCTGCAATATACCCAGTTTCATGTGCTGAACCTAAAGAACGATTCTGGACCCCAAACAACATAAATTTAATTTTACATACAAAGAAGTTACACAGAAAGTTTGTCCCTTTTAGCATTTCATGTCTGCATTGTCAAGTCTGGAAGAACCTGGCTCCAGGGTAATGGGAATCAGAGACCAGATGTAAAAAATATTTTTGTGGGAATCTTGCACACTCAAACTGAAGAGGAGGAAGAGAACAGCTCTTTATAGCATTCCCTTTGAGTTTTACACTTAGCCCAGTAAATTATCCATTATTCAATAGCAATTAACTCCTAGAGCTTGCTCTTTGCTAGGATTCTGATCACCTTCTCTTTCAGAAACTTTCACACCCTCTTTTTTGCTGCTCCTCCTCCACAATCAGTGAAGGCAATACCACTGGATTACAAAGGCTATGTTTACACTAGCAAGTAGTGTGATGCAACACAAGTGGATATGTCAAAAGAAAGAGCTTCTGCCAAGGACCCAGTGTTCAGCACTGTACATGTTTTAGAGCTGTTATTCTGCAGGAGGTCTAAGTTGTTCCAATGAACTAAACATCCATCAGTAGCTGGAGCACTCCAAGTGCTTTGGAGGAGCACATCCATGGTTTACTTTTATTCTGAAGTAGTCCAGTTTGCTTATTAGAACAAGGAATATGATGTAAACCAAAGAAGTGAAGACAATTAAGAGATTCCCTTGAATGCTTTATCCCTACTGAAACACTCACAGATGCATCCAAAAATACTTTTCTCTAGCCCAAAGAAATTGTCTTTCATATTCCTTAACACACGCTTCTCAAAGAAAAAGTTGGGCACCGTGTCAGAAAGCTGGTAAATACAAGTGTGTTAGGACAGGCTGGCCCCACTCCCCCTGCACCAGCAGGGCTAAAAAGTGAAATGTAAAAGTTAAAAACCTTCCACAGACATAAGCCGAGACAGTGATTGCTGACAGCTGAAGGATTGGAGAGAAGAATTGATGAAACCAGAATGTATTAAACCCTAAGGGAAAAAACAAGGAGCTGCAGGATAGCAAATCAGCAACCCATTCTGACTTGCCTGAGGACTGTCTTGCCAGTAGAGAAATTCAGGTGTCTCATTAGGAATGATAAACGTATCCTTGTTCAGTCTAGTAACTCATTAGCCCTACCTGTCCACCATGTGTATTAGCCAATGCATAATTGCTTTGTAGTCTTAAGCTGTATATATGTGAACTTGAATCACACGTTGTAAAAGCAAGCCAGAAGGGAAAGGTTACGGAGAGAATGATCTTTCTCAGGCCCATTGATACAGACAGAACAGAAAAATATGCTTTGAGTGCATGAATTCTCCTGAAAGCTTTTCTTGAAGGTCTTATGGGCCTGGAAGATAGTTTGCATCCTTCAGCTGGTCTCTCCAAATTCATCTTATGTATAGTGTTTTTTCTACTACAACCAAGATACTTGTTGCCGAACTAAGATTTAACAATAACACTGACTGACACACGTCTTAATGTTATCTACAGGCATGTACATAAGAGGATTTTCTACATGGGTAAAAAGATTTTTATGAAAACAAAACAAAAAAATCACTTAAATCAGCTGAGGTTGTACAGGTGTGTCAGAAGTTAGAATCTGACCAGAAAACTATACTGAAAGTAGGTATTAGAATAGAGTCCTGGTGAAAATTTCAGGTCAAACTACACTACTTGTGTTCATATCAGCATGCTGTAGTGATCATCCCTACCCATTTCTCAAGCTTACAAATCTGAGTGCCCTGGGAAATAGGAATAGACTATTTCTATTCTAGAATAATTTAGAAATAGTCAAATAAAAACTTAATTCCGGGACCCAAGAGTTCTTATGTGCTCTCACTGTTTGCTTTCTTCTAATGAGGTTTTTATCAAAGTTCAGAAAGCAGGAACTACTTTCAATGCATTGTACCTTTTTATTCAGCCACTGATGGAGGAGGCTTTATAGTCTAACCTTGGCTCCTAAACTAATTCATGTCCTGCTTGGTCATCTCTTTTTCTACTATTATTGCAAAACCATCAGAAATCATTCTGAGTCACAGATACTGGGACTGGTCTACAAACTACTGAAACCTTTACAAAAGAGGTTTGTCAAATGGGAGCAAAGGCTGGAGGAAATTTATGTAATCTATCTGATTTTGAAACACAAGGAGAGGAATGTCAGGTAGATGATAAGCCATCAATACATACATAAATGTAATAAATGTTGAAGAACAGAAGGACGAACAGCAAGGATTGTTGAATCCAACTCCCTTGAAACCCTGGATATTTTAAAGAGTAATCAATTGCAGTATGAGTTCTAAGGACTACATTTTTAAGCTTCTCTATCTTCTCTCCATCAATTTTATAGAATGGACAAACCACCCTAGAACTGGGATTTAGCCAACAAATTTTGTTCAGGTTTCTCACTTAAAAAAAGACATGACATGGAGGGAAAAAACAAGATGCAGCAACAATAGCAGTACCTGCTTTGACATGTTCAGGAAATTAATTAATAAAATTAGGGAATAATTCATGTTGTGGTAGATTGCAAAGAAACACAAAAGTAGCATAACTAAAACAAGTCATACTTGAATAAGGCCATGTCTTTAAGAGAGAGTTGCCTCAACTGCGTCATTGTTATAGAGTATATGGTGGAAGCACAGCTTGCTAGGTACAAACTGAAAAGGAAATACTATGACAATACTAGAAACCAGTCTTCCCATCTGAACAATATAATACCTTTATCAAATAACTGGTTCTTTTCATGATGTGGTGATTATCTTAGCTTTGGTTTCAGTGAGATGGGAGGACACTCTAAAAAAATTTAAAAAAATAAATAAATCTCTACAATGAGATTATCAGTTCACTCAATTTAATTGACTAAATGGCAAGTTAAGGAAAAGTAAGTCTAACTAGGGGAAAATGGGGGATTAAATAAAAATGAGTTGGAGAACTCAGATTGAAGAACTTGGAAATCAGAAATCAGGGAGATTTGGCATTTCTTTAAATCAGAGATATAAAATTCATCATACACGTAACTGTTTGAATAAAAATATCAAATAAAATATCTATAGGCAACTAGGAATAAAAGAAAATTATTAGTTAGCACAGAACGTAAAACTTCGTAAGTTAGAAAGTATAAAATTTGCAGTATTACCTACGGTCAAGCTGAATTAAATTTTATGTGGTTTGTTTGCATGGATTTTTTTTCCTTGTAAGCAGAAGAGAAGAAAAGCAGCTGCTGTGTGGCCAAGATGGTTCAGCATAATATTTGTGTGGCAAAAAAAAATGAATATTTCTTCAAAAATCTTGAACATGGGGCAAAGGTGAGGTGACTAGGGAGAATTAAAATATGAGAAGCATCTTATCTAAACTTAAGTTTTAAACTTCTGAATGCACTCAAAATGGGAATACTGACGAGGCAGGAGAAGAACCTAGAAATGAGAGAACTGATGCACAAAATCAAAGCTCTCCTGGAAATATTCTTTTAAATAAATTCATCTATTATTTATTCTTTTCTACCATGTGTCTACCATTCATTCTTAGCAGTTAATCTTATCCATATGCTAAGCTAAAATCATTATCAGCACCATCTGCTTAGTGCATGCTCTCTATATCTTTAATATCTATGTTTGGACATATTTCTGTCTGTATAGTCACGTTACATGATACTACAACTTTCTTGTTTACATCTCTGTGTATTCCGTCATTTGATGGACAACAGACATCCTGCTAGTCAGTCTATTATCTTGTTAACCACATTATCAACATTCCCATCAATTCTGTTCTGTTGTGCATCTACAATAGTCATCAGGCTTCCTGCTTTTTGAGCAAATCTGAAATGATTTTGGCTTAGATATCCGAAGTGAAATCTCATAGTAGAAGTGCTATTTCTCTATCTAAAATTCCACTCTGGATGGATTTTAGGATGATGTTTGTGTTGTTCCCAGCATTTCACATGGAAACTTATAATCAGCCTACAAATCAAGGAATAAATTTTCCGTTTATAACAGCAATACTTACTAAGTTCCAAATAATGTAAACTCGCCTTGAATACAATGACATTGTATCTAATTTCTGTTGGCCACTTGTTTTACCCACACTGATAGTCTCTGTGTTATTGGCTCCTTGTAATTTATGTCATTAAGAAATTTCACTTGTACATCCTTGGTTTTGTGAAAGGATACAAGATAAAATCAACCATTGGTCTCAAGACTGATCCTTGAGAAACCTCACCAGTAACCTTAGTCTAGACTAAATTGCTTGCTTTCAAAGGAGTTCTTTCAGTTACTTCTCTAAGGAATTGCTTCCTAAATGTAGAATTCCTCTTCCTATTCTCTTTTCCGTGTAAAGATACAATGTACAGGAACATGATTAAATGCGTACAAAGAAAGGCTGTGGATTTTTGGACCTAAAGTGCTGGGCAACTGACCATGTGATTTTTTTGCTTGATTGATGGCAGACCGCTACATAATATGCCACTACAGGAATTCCAGTAATTAATCCAATCCTGAACTGAATGTGTCACTAATGGGAAGCTAAAGGAGATAGAGTGCCTTACCTGCAGGATATAAATAGTTGCTAGCATGCTGACCCTTGAAACCCCAAGAGTTAGTCAGGGATCTTAAACAAAATAAGTGTCAAGTGGGAAAGACAGACTTTGGAAAAAAGAAGTCAGCAAAAAATATTGTGAAGAGAACTTCAAGCTGTAATATGGTTGCAGAAGGTTTCTTAAGATTTTCAAAGGAATGGAGTGTTTTACCTAGTAAATGGAAAGCTGAGAATGAATCTGATTTCTGTCTCTAAACCACAGGAGGGTTACACACCAGGTCTGGAAATGTAGCACTGGAACTAGCAAAAGAGGATGGAACATGAAAAAATGGGTATAGACTACTATTAAGTAAGTTTAGGCAGGCAGACAGAAGAGGATTTTTAACCCATGGCATGAAGTTCTGGAATAGCCTTACAGCAAGGTATTGAAATGGGGCAGTTTTCAAGTTCAGTCAGCTAATGGCAAAGACTGGAGGTGCATGCAGCAGGGAAATAAACACAGTGATGCACGACGTCCATGTAAGTCTTGTGTTCTTAAATGACACAAAACATGAATTGTAATTAAATTGGAAAATTAAATTGATACTGTCTCACTCGTGTCAGTATTATCATTATTAAAATATATGGGGAACCTTTGAACTCAGGAAGAGGAGAAATACTTCTAAGTGGGAGAGGTCTATTACAAAAAATACCATAAGCAACAAGCACTGCACTCTGAGAAGAGATGGAACTTTTAGGCCTTTGCACATTGCTTTACACTCTTTATGAATACCACCAGGTGAAGTCCCCACAATTAAATACATAGCAATAAAATGCCTTTGCTGATAATCTCTGCAACTATCCCCAGACTAATACGGGTGTAAATAAAATTCATTCTGATCTTCCACACCACTGTAAACTGGGTCTGTATTTACCTTATCCATCAATTGTATTGATCTGAATATATGACCCAGAAACTAACTTATGTTTGTTCCTGATTTGAGCAGTGTGTATTATAGTAATTAACTAGGGAAGGATGTGATTTCAGAATGAATGTGCACTAAACTCCCTGGGCTGAATAATCTGCCAGAACTCCTCTTTGCAACAATCTAGATCTAACTGTGCAAACCTGAAGCAGTGAGAGACCTGGTACCACCGCTTTGGGATCAGATGCCCACCACTAAGAGAGACTCCCTGTGATTCATGCTTCAAGACAGGGCTGAAGAAACATGTTTTTGAGCTGTGTCTAACTGGTAATCAGACAAGGCCTACTGTAAGACATGGCCACGTATACAGACCATTCCTACCAATTTACAGCACAAGAGTCTCTCATTCTAGATCTCATAAATTAAGGAAGAAGATACAGGACAGATGGGTATGCAAACAACTCTGAAGTACTGCCAGCTAAGGCATTAAACAAATAGACTGATTAAATGCTTGCCATTTAACCAAAGAACTGGGTTTCTGCACTGAGAAACATCCTTCTCTTCAGATGCTGAAAGCGTAACAGAGACAGGCTTGGGAGCGCTTGGTCCTCCCCCTTCCTCCATTAAGAGGCTCTACTGAGCCTGACCAAGCAGATCAGCTAACTACACCAAACACTTTATTGCTCAAAGGTATGCCCCTTTCAGGGAAAACATCCCCTGCTGGTGCCACTTGAAAGGAGGTTCACAACACTGATGATGCCTGAGCAAGCCCAGTGCCTTTCTAATGGAACTGAAGAGCACAACTTGCCCTTTGCAGTGAGTGTTCCAGCACTGTAAGAGGGCTGTGCATGGTCAGTCTGCTTCATTCCCCTGGCAAAGTGCCCTTTGGTCATGGCCAAGCATCAAAAGACTTGGTCTTTTCCTACTCAGGGGATGTTCAAAATTCATCTTGTTTACCCAAAGCAACCTACCCTAGTCTTAGACAAGGACTTAAAAATGCTTCATCTCCTCTAACTCGATTTTTCAATCAAATTCTCTTCAGAGGAACTTCATCTTAAAGCACAAGCCAACTTGAGACGTTCAAGTAGAAATGAGTTTTTTAATAAAGATACATTCGTAAACTAGAAGAATTTGTAAGACAGGTAAAATATTCTGTACTGTTAAGAAAAACTGTTTACATTACATGTTTACATTTTGGCATCTATTGTAGTCAGTGAAAGTTTTAACACTGACAACAAGGTGAAAATGGTTTGATCCTTTATTGTAGCAGTAGCAGAGTAACAAATCCCTTCCAAGGTGGCCATATGCTCTCCTCACTGAGGCTGGGCTTTTTCCTGCTGAAGAAAAATTTCTCAAGCATGGTGCAATTACTTTATTTTATCCGGAGATAAAGGACATGTCTGTTTTGCAAATATGTTGGCTTTGAATCAAATAGCATTAAGGGAAAGATGATTATTTCTTGTTAAAAGCAACATAGCAAGAAAGCCTAATTTACTGTTAGATTATAAGGTACATTGAGAGAGGTTTTATTTAAGCAAAATCTCCTTTCAACAGAAGCACAGATGTGTATTTACCTGTCTTTTTTTTTATAAGCAATTTTAAACTAGTGCATTTGAATTTAGCACCTGAATAAAAGATAGGGAGAAAATAAGTCATAAAAGAACAACATTTTATATGTGGAGCTGCGACACTGAGGCTCCTTGTTAGGTGCTAATAGGTTTGTTTATTTAAAGGATCTAAATGACTGTAGTCAGATGTAACAATGATAATTCACAGATTTTTCACTTGAACTACCCACAAAAAGTTTAATTTGCAACAGTTTAGCTGATCAAGTAAACAATTAGACAAAGGAAATATGGGATTTTCTAGAAATCCTTTTGCATTGCATAAAGGAGATTACAACACACGAACTAACTTTCAAGCAAATGTTGTATATTTGGGAAATAGCATGGTTTAAAAGGTTCCAAGTATCAACTCTTCCTGGAAACTAATACACAACACTAACTCAAACTACACTGAACATTAAGAAATAGAGAGAAATAACGGTTCTAAGAAATTGGTATATGACACAAACCAGAACATTCAAGATTCCAAGAAAATGACGTAGAAAATGTGTGGGAAAAAAAAAAAAAAAAAAAAACGTATTTGAAACCAGTTGTGTTAACTGCAAGTTTAAAGATTTCATAGGAATAAATGAAGGGAACTTAGGTAGGATAGTCAGGAAGCAAAACGAAGGAATGGTGCACCTAATGCTCATGCTTTTGTCCAAGCTGAGCATCAGAAACCACTATTTCAAAAAAAGGCATTCCATATACAGTTTTAAATATGCAGTTGAGTGATCAGAGATTACCACAGTCACTACATTTTATTCTAAAATATTTAACTCAACATACCTCCAGAATGATCCCACTGCTAATCCAGCTAAAGCTCTTGTGGACTCTCACGGAAGTCACAAATAGAAGACTTTTGTAATACTGTAATAAACCCATTTCCATATTTTCTGGGGGTGCTGAGATGAAACAGGTACTGTGCTGTAGCTCTAGAAGGTAAAGTGAGATGGAGGTGTCTACAAAGTCAGCCTGCAGGCAGAAACTTTCTGCTCAGATCCTTCCTTACCGCACCCTGGAAAGAGGCTAGGGGGACTCTAGCAGCATCCCCTTTCTTTTCCTACATTCCCCACAGAATTCCTCACAGGTCTGAGATCCACTGGGTACAGGGCCGACAGTGGACTTTGGAAATGTGTTTTATTCTTGCACTCTGACCTGCGGACTCTGGAGGAAAGAGATTTAAACCAAGAGGGACACAACACCGGGACAGCCTCCTTCCACCAGCTGACAAGCTCACGGCGTAGCAGCAGTATAGCTCCATGCATTTCCATCACAGTAGGGAAGTCTAGAAGCTTGCACCTTGTTCATATCAGCAGACAAATTCAAACAACAAAATTGCTCAGCTAGGTTAGATTTTTCTTACCTTCTTCCTCTACCGGGTGGTCAGTGCCATCTTTTAAATCTTCATCTACCCATGGGCGAGATACAGGCTTGCTTTTAGTCTCATGTTTTTCCTTCTCTCCATTAGTCTTCTTCAGTATTACCCCAATCAAAACACATATAATGGCTATAAAGACTGGGGTTAGGGAAGAAAAGAGTGCCATGACTACAGAAACGTGGAGACTTCCTTCCAGGTTCAGGTTCCTCTCCTGAAAAGGAGAGGACTAAATGGGAAGAGCAGAAGGGCAGCAAGCAGGAAGGGGTGGACCCAAGGTTCACTCCTCAACCCTATCCCACTTCCACTTTCCAGCCACTGCCCCCACAGCCTCATCTGCAATGAGCTTCTGCTATTAAGCAGACCCAGATTTCGCTATTCTGGAAAGAAACTGCTTAGAAATATCAAGCAGAGGCACTGACCTCGTACACACATATAAATGCCAACAAGTGCAAAATAAATAAGATCTTCCTGATTCCCAGGCCAAGTAGAAACACTTCTGCCCCTTATTTTTTTTAGTTGCGGTGATTCCAGTAATCCTGCCTGTAACAACAAGTACGAATAAGTGCCAAGTGGGAATGTGACTTTTAAAAGCTGATGGCATCTCTTCAATGTTTAACTCATTGTGCTTAGTCACATCACGTGGACCCCGGGAAATCAGGATACCACAGAGAATGCAAGCTTACAGTGCCACCCTTGGCTGGGTAAACTGGTCGATACTGCAGATAAGTAAAGCTGTAGCATTACCTCTGTGTGAAGCATGAAGGAGATCAGCCACAGAACACTTTTTCTGCTCTGGATGTTTGGGGGAAGAGAGAAGGAATATTTCTTCTCAGCCCTCGGATTATTCCTTGAGTAAATTCCTTTCTCAAGGAATAATCTGAGGGCTGGCAATCTACGCTGTGGTGAATTTTTAAACTGCCATTCAGCTATTTTACCAAAGGAAAGATTAAAAGGTGATCCTAATCCAAGAATGGCCAATGTCTCAGGACTTTAACCCATTTTTTCCTCAGTCAGCTGCTTGGGAACTGAAACAATACAGCAGCACCAAAGCTGTGGGCTTTCCCAGCTCAGAAACGCAGTAACTACATCCACGCTGTTTCAGCATGTCCTACCCCATCAAGCAGTCCCTATGTCCAAGACAGCTCATGGTCCTTCCAGGCAATGTTTGGGATCTGTGTAAGAAGGGTGTCCCTCAGAACCAGCCAGATGCGTGTAAAAATACATCAGAAATCAAATAAGGAGGACATGCAAAGGTCATGCTATCTAATCCAGCAAAATTGGCAAAAGAAAGTCACCTGCCTCTGAGTAAGAGGGTAACCTACTTGAAAATACAAGCTGTGAATTTTTTCTTCTGCTTTCCCTATACAGGTGTGACCTTGGTTACAGGCTTGGATCACTGATCCTTGGTTGCCTGTTAAATAAATAAATAAATAAAATTTGCACTGTACAAGAATAGAAATGTGGGGAGAAAAAAAAAAAAAGTTTAATTTATCCTCTTTCTCCTTGATTTAAAGCAGATATTTAAATTCATTTGTCCTGCCTGCCAGCCATCCAGTCAAGGAGAGAGATACTTCATCTAATCCCAATTAGAAACATCAAATTTGTTCATGTGAGTAGCAAGGGACCTACAGTTTCATCATACACATTTTCGACAGCCCCCTGTACGGCAGGGCAGGAAAGAGGAATTCAGGCTGAATGGCACCTACTGTGTCTCTCCCACAGGGAACATATTCTTGTTAACCTTGAATATTCGCATACATATAAATTAGTATCTGGATGCTTTGCAGCTGAGAATCCATCCTGCAGAGGGACAGGTCCACGTTGAAAGAGAGAGGGAAGCAACACAGAAGGCTGAATATTATTGTTTAAAATAACTACCTTTATTTGCAATGCTGGAAACTATAATCTCTCACTTGTCTGGAATAACTTTGACTTTCTTAGAAGTGATGAGGTATTATTTTTCCTCTTGCAGAACAGAGGAAAAAAAAGAAAGCTAAATAAGAGTCCCTTTAGGATTAACTTAGGCCAAAGTCTGCATTTGCTGTTATACATTGAAGGCCATTAATTTGAACTTTAGCCCCACAGAAATCCCACAATACCATGTTTTATTAAAATTTGATTGAGTTTCAATAACTATGCCGCAGACATTCAAAATATAAACACAGTGATGCTCTAAGGAACTGTGAAAAGGGGTGGGTGGAAACAGTCAATTTTTATATAGTAGATTTTCATCATTTTTTCTAAATGCACTGTTGGATTTTCTTCAATCCAAGCTTTATATAAGTATAATGATTATTATCATTACAACTTCAAGCAAATTTATTATGATTATCTCTTCTGTTCTATTGTAAGCCCTGAAGCCTAGCAGATGGATTTTTTTTTTTTTTTGAGTTGCAAAAAAACTAAGGAGATACACCACAAATACCCCTAACTCCTAAGAATTAATGAAGCTTTTCTGAAAGGTTGGAAAGAAGATAGAATTTTTAAATAGACATACAGCTATTGCAGACACCAAAGTACTCAAGTATTATTGCATGAAATCCATATAAACACTCTTAAAAGATACAAACCATCATACTAAAAGCTTTTGGACCAAAAGCTTTTTTTTTTTATAATTTTTTTTTTTTTTATGTATTTCCTATTCTGTGCTTATTTGCCATTCTGGAGAAATAAATGCATTCAAATATCAAATACGGCTTTTTTTTTTTCCAAAGCAACTATGTGTTGCTTTGCAGATGTCATGCATGGGCTGAAACAATATATGTGTATGAAGGCACAGCGCAGTGTGTTATCTCTGCCCTAAGCTAGTGTGACTCCACTTGTGAGGGCTGTGGGACTGACTGACTACATCTGCTGTTTCACCCTCCTCCTAGAGGTGCACTGAGTGGCAGCAAAGCCACCTATCAGCACCCAGTCATGAGCTCTGATCTCTGCTGTGGATATTTCTCCTCAGTACTTCCCATGATCACTGTGACATTGGTGCACCCTTCTCATCGTGCTCCAGGGAGTCTTAAGGCACTGTTATGGGATCACCTCATGGCTAGGCTTGGACAAGGCTCTGGCTGAATTCCTTTATGAATATGTCCACCTAACACAGACAAAAGATGTAAATGATAGGAGAGTCTCCAAATGCTCAAATTATCAATGAACGTGTTACCTTTATGGGGTGAATGCGGTCTATATGAAAGGCACAGAGGCAGAAGGGAAAGAGACTGAGAACAGCCAGGCAGAACCAAAACGATCTGCTCCCATGGTCTCTCCTGCCTGTGTTTTCCTAACAGTACTTTTTTGGAGAGCTTTAACTTGGAAAGATATATGGAAGGAGAGACCACTTCATGCAGCCTCAGCCATCTCCTTTGTCCTCATTTCTACCTTTCTTTGGCCATGGACAGACATGGGCTATAGCAGAAAAAAAAATGCTAACAGGGAATAAAATTTTCTGTTGTCTTCAAGCATACAAACTAATTTCAGGTCAGTGTTGGTGTTTACTGAAAAACAACCAAAAAAAACCCTATTCAAAGGCAACCAATGATCAGCTACCAGCTCAGTATGTACCTGTTATGGGCAAGGCAAAAGTGCATGTGAAACACGTAATCCAATTTCCCAATCAACGCATAGAGACAAATGTCTGAGATCAATTGAAACTTATACATCACCAGGTATTGGCGTTACTAAAAATATCATGAGCCTGATGAGCTTCTTCATCCCTGTGCTATATCTAGTGCATGCCCTCCTGCCTCCACCAGTGACCAGCGCACAGTGCTTCTGAGCAAGGTGACCCTCATTCTTCTGCCATCTCTTGCCTCCTCTGCACTCCACTCACACAGAACTGCCTCCTTCCCTTCCCCCGAGTCAGCTGCATGATCTCTTCATGACCCCTAAAGATATCAGATATCATGCCCTGTAGCATTAGATTTGATTATCTTTTTCATTAACTTAGCTCAGATTGCCACAAATGTTATTACTGCTTATGAACTAGCCTTTTGAAATCTAAGAGTACAGCAGCTAATACAATTACATCCCATAGCAATGAAAGCACGAGACAACAATGCACAATTCAATAGAGTAATTCTTTTCATTTGTCCTCAGTGTACCGCCCTTCAGTTGCAAGCTCACTCTATTTATGCATTACAGGACAGGAAAAATAACCTAGCAGTAGGCAACATGATTCATTAATATCTTTCTAAATAAACTAATCCATTTATTAGGATCTGTGGTACCAGATAAACCATTACTCATACCCAAGAGGACAACAGTGGTACTAAAAATATTTGTGATTTCAAAAAGTAACTTCAATTTTAACTCAGAGACTAACTTACTCTCAGATTCATACCAGAATTTACCAGTGCAATTTGCTACTGCTGTACAACTGCTACCACAATGAGCATGTAGGACTGAGTGTACCGATAGCAGGAGTGTGACAGACACTAATGACATTACTCATTGGAGCAAAGCCACACACGTGAGTTTGTATGAATCCACAAAAACTTTCAGGTCTCTAAACACGAATCCTGAAAACATCACTAAACTTACATGAAAAGCTACCAAGGGTCAGCAGGCAACGTAGACCTTAAAAGGTATTTGCCCCAATGGTAGAGATACAAAAATACAGATAAATACATAAATAAATACATAAATAGATACACAAATTCAGGGATAGATATATAAAAGCATGGATATAGACCTGAACCAGCTGTCATCAGAGACATATAATCATCATGAATGTAATCATCATGATGCCAAAGTCTTGAGGCACCAGCGTATCTAATAATCCAGGTGCATACTCAAGCAGCTCCCCATGCAGGCACCCCTGCAGCTGCAGCTCTCCAGCCTTCATCCCAGGCCCATGCTGACACTGGTACACCTGTACGTGCTCTGCCTGTGCTTCTGAGTGCAGCACAGCCAGCCATCATCCCTGATCCCTCCTCATCAGCTCACGGCACGGGAGGAGTGTTTACAGTGAATTCATTGCAGCGCCCTACATGAGCAGACTTCAAATGGTGACGTGAAGTCAGGTAACTGTTAGTGGTAGAGAAATGATAACTGGATATCCTTTGGAGCTGACGTAAGAAACACTGCTACTGTCATTTTGATGTGAAGAAGAAATACATGGAAAGTATAATAAGGGGGGGGGAGAATAAAAATAGAAAAACCCTATTTTTCAGAGGTGGCTTTTTATTTCCATTTGTTTATATATTTGTGTGTGTGCTTACAGAGAGGGAAATTGTCTTTCATTCCAAATTATCATGATGGGACAGCCAAATGGCAGCATGCAGCATTTGAAATCAGCATTTCAAAGCCCTAGCTATTCTTGGAATAGCTATTTCTATTACTTCGCTTCTTATTTGCACCAAATCAAAACA